AACGTATGTACAACGAAGTCTTCACACTATAGAGATTACAGGCATATCATAAACACTATTTATATATAGTGTTTCTTCTTGTTGTTGTCAAAAGTCCACTTAGGCCTATTCAATTACTTTAGAATTTTAGTTGACAAGTCAAACTATCTTCTCTATATTACTATCGTACTGGTATTCTGTGTGTGATTCACTTACAGATGTGGCGCAAGTTACTGTAATTCGTTTGGCCTTCTTTCTTCTGGAGATACTCTGTTCCTTTTGTCAAATTGTACCCAGGCTGATTCAATTACTTTAGAACCACGCTTTGATGGAATAAATATATCCTTCTTATCTATTTTTTTTATTCTGTTAGTTTCACTTTAACATATTAAACGTTAGACCTGTCACCTTTGCGGTACTTAAAGTGACACCACTGTATTCTCTTTTGCTATTATCTGTCTATTGTTGTCTGTCTACTGCTTCCCACTCGTCTCACGCTATTCATATCTTTATTACATAGTCGTCTGGCCACTTTCTATATTGTGACACCTATTAGTTATTAGCAAAACCTTCTACAATCGTCTGCTTTTAACTCTTATTATAAAAAAACTTAAAATAAATAAAATATTCACTTACAAATATAAATTAATCACTAATATTTAAACCAAACAGTCTTTTATATCATGACACCTTGGATGAATTTTTTTTACCATAGTTTCCACAGTGCCAATACATAATGACCACATTTTAATTAACGTTTGAAATATAAAAACAACAAATATTGAAAAACTTTTATAATATTTCTAAAATATATATATATGCATATATTGTTATAAAACTTCATGCTATATAATCGTTATTTTCTGCCGAGTACAAAAAACTTTTTGATTCTCAAATATATTTTGCTACGAAAATAATTACTAAATAATATATACATACATATATATATACACACAAAAATTAATCCAACTTTTTCTGTAATTAAGCACAAAGCTACACAATATGCTATCTGTGCTCTGTCCACCACGGGTATCGAAACCCGGATTCTAGCGTTGTAAGTCCGTAGACATATCGCTGTGCTACTGAGGGACAAATCCAACTTTAACTAAGTAAATTTTAATATCAGTGTTCAGGCATTTCATACCCATCTATCCAATAAAAACTAAACACTACGTATCAAATATACATCGAAATGTACATATTGAATAAATACAAATAATAAATGAGGCTTTTGTTTGTTGTAAAGCGCAAAGCTACACAAATGGGCTATCTGTGTTGTGCTCACTGCAGGTATCGAAGCCCGATTTTTAGCATTATAATCCCTAAGACTCACCATTAAGCCACCGTGGAAGCATGTATCAGGCAGAAATAGTTTAAAATGTATGTAGTTTTTAATCAAAATATAAGTATATATTTAGATATGGAAAACAGCAAACAGAGCCTAAATCCTGGATATATATTTTTGCTGTTAAACGTAAAAGGAAAAACTGTGAAATGTCTTCATATATACATATTTAAAACTATACACTGTAAAGTAAACTTTGAAATAATCGCTAATGTTACTTATTCACATTACAGCTAAAAAACACATCAATGTACCTACTAACTTAAAAAACAACAAAGTCTAAAACATCCTATTTGCTAAGCATTCAACAATATTTTTTATTTAATCTTTCTAATAAGTAAATATGGTTTTCAATTTTTGCTAAAACTACAAATCTGAATGTCCCCTCGTGGGATAGCGGTAAGTCTACGAACTTACAACGCTAAAACCCGGGGTTTAATTCCTTGCGATGGGCACAGCAAATAGCCCAACGAGGCTTGGCTCTGAAACAAACAAACAAATTTGAAAAAAGCAAAGTTTGTGAGAAATATGAAAACACTTCACAAGCATATTTTTCACCAAATAAACATAACTGGATTGAAATTTTCAATGTCTCATACTTGATACTGATGAAAAACGGATGTTCCTTTATCAGTTTTCAAACGTTATTAGAGCAAGATGAAGTTGCTTTGCGTTCTAGCTTGCCAATCTGGACACAACTCGTTCTACTGCGCAAAATTACGTCGAGATCAGAACTCGTGCTATCGTAATGACAAGAGGTAAGGCCACTAGTGACTTACGTTTAGATAATTCCACACGACAAAGTAGTAGATGAACATTTCAGTTATTAAAAACAAGGCATCTTAAACAGAGAGTGGGGAGATAATTTTAGTGAAAGATGACACGCGTATATAAACCAAAATCGAAAAGGGAAGCTCGATTATTTTAATTTCGCCAAAAATTGGGGGGGAGGGGGGCGAGCTTTGGTGACTCCGTCCTATTTACTTTTCTTTTTTGAACAACAAGTTGGAATCTGATTAAGACTCGGTCGGTAATTTACATAGCAACAACCTATCTGGTTTATAAGCTGGATGCATATGTTATATGTATAGTAAAAATATTCGTCTGCAGTTCCAAGAATCTATACCATTCGGATCAACAACCTTAAGCTTAATCTTTAACTCTCAACCACTTCTCAAGAAAAAAATAAAAAGTTGAAATTATTTTATTGGGGGGGGGGGCTTTAGATAACTTTGAAGTGGCTTCAGCCCACATAGGAACGGCCTATCGATGGCCCCGATTTAAATGAAACGAATTAAACAAAAACAAAACAAATTTAAAAGTCACGACTTCTAGCCAGTGTTGATGCATACTCAAAATAAACGTTTAAAAGTAAGCTACTGTAACTCTCCAGTTATGTTTCGGGTCTGTTTGCCCAGATATTGGTTTCCATAACGTTATGATGCACTTAAATATATCTTTGGGTGTAGCATAATGATAGTTTAAATCAATTTAAATACTTACCAAACAAGACTAAAACCTATACAAAGAAAAATATTTTATTAATTCAAGCCTGTTTCGTAATTTATCTGAAAATGCTTCGAGTAAGTACGACCCAAAACATATAACAGAATAACATAATAGGAGGGTTAACTAAAATTCCAAGTCCACTGAACAATTAGAAAGTCTATTTAGATTCAATTAATTAATCAGCACTTAAAGGTATTGATATTAAAGATTATCTGAAAGCAAGTATATTTACTTGTTGATTTATATTTACCGAAAATTAATTTATTACAAATAACTTCTCTTGGCGATTTTTGATTAAGACATGATATCAAGTATGTAAAGATTTCAAATAATCTTCATGTTTCAACTAGAAGAGACCCGCAAAACATTTCCGGCTAAATTAGTATCTTTATCGTAAAAGTACTTCTTTAAATATAACATTTCAAGCACAATATAAACGAATTGCAATCGTAGACAACGAAATATGTAAATCCACTTGTATATAGTCCGTACTTTAGGCCTAAGTTCGATAAAGAGATAAATTAACACTGTAGCCTGTGTACGTTTTTTTTTTTTTTTACTTTAGTTTCGTTAGGACTAAACTTTACTATACTTAACATTATCGATAAACAAACTTATAATGTTATTCTACGACCTAACGTCAAACCTTTTTTAAAAACTTCGATACGTTTTTAATATTCTGTTGTAAAAAATGGTTAGTAAAGTATATTTACATTCCCCCTTTTGTTGGTACTTCTTGTTTCATACAGCAATTCTAGCGACTTGATCACTGAACTTTGCAGCTCTCTGCCGCAGGCAGACTGTTTGTCGTCGAGTGAATAATGCGCATGCGCGGTTTTTCTTTGGGAAACATTCTAACTACGCATACTTATGCAGCAAGTTCTCGGTCAGAAAGCGTAACGGTCGTACATACAAACAAGCAGAATAATAGTATAGATGTTTTCATATTAAAGGGAAACTGTGGTAACATGGAGCTTGTCTAATGTCATCTGGCATCAGGTTGCGTTGTCTCATTCGTAACAAGACGGTGATTAGGAGAGTGTAGAGGTCT